TGATCTAAGGTCATATATTTTATTTCTTATACTTCTAGTATTACAATAGTAACAATTAAGCCTATCCTTATAACTACTTCTATACTCATTTCCTCTGCTAAACTTTTCTGTGCCTCTTATTCTTTTTGCATTAAGTTTTTCCTGGCACTCACCACTGTCTAGTCCTAGTTTAAAACTTCCCTTACAGCTGAGTTAATAGCCATAGCAAACAAGCCAGCCCCTACTCTATTTAAATGTAAATCATCCATTCCAAAAAGCTTCCTTCTTCCACTGAACTGATGCTGTAACTCCAACTAGCCAATCTGCTCATCCTTACATACTAACCTAAGCCTAGCATTTAGCTCTAATGACCTACGTATAACTTCATCCCCACAATTATGGCATCCATAGTGACTTCCTCAACCTATCCTCTTTTATGGTTCTTTTATGTAAAAAACTGTTTAATTGAATTTATCAAATTTTATATAACCTCTTTTCAATGCTACTTCCTTTTAAGGTCTGTGGAGTGACCAATAATTTTCTCTCCATTTTATAAATTGTTTCAGACATGCCAAAGTTTTCATGTTTCTCCTTGAGTATCATCCACCAGCTTGACGTTTTGCTAGTGTTTGTTTCAACATGTACATCATTATAAAAGCCAGTGTTTCTATTAAGTTTTAGAGATCTGGTATTTAATTTAGTTTAGGAAACAAAAGATCTGTATAACATAAAGTAGATATTTGGAATCCTTTATCAAAATAACAAGGAGAGATGACCAGTTCATTTCTGCAGATTTTGATCCTGTAATCTGAGAACTGTTATGCCTGTTTTCTCTAATTCCCCTTCACAAGAAAGTGTCTATTGTTTTCTGAAACACCAGTCATATCTATCCACTAATTCCTGCAGGTCATTTCACTGTAGTAGTTATCACACAATTGGATTCTTCAAACCAATCTCTCTGTAGTAAAAAAAAGGACACAAATATTTACATTATGGCTGACACTCACACTTCTCCAACTATTGAAATTATTTCATTTGTGTAGCTCTGGAACTAACTCTTCTTATTTCAATTTTCAGTTCTTTTTCCTTCTAAAAAGTCTGTTATTTTTCAATTAATATCAGTTATAAACTGACAAATGTATTATCTGTAGTAATTTTCTCATGTACCAGACTTACTTGTGTTGTCCATATTGTGACTTCATCTGACTCTTAGTGTTGGCCTTATAAACACTTTAAAATGGTATAATGCTCTGTATCAACGCCTTTGGCATCATGTGATTTTAAACCTTCTTCCACTAAAAGGCATATTTGTGTTGAACTGCCATTTATACTGCACTTAATGTTACAATTCTTATATTAAAGAAAAAAATGTACTTTATTATAGTATCTTTTATGTGATTGTTTTCATAAATGTATGATATTTTAATCTATTTTAGTTAAATTATATTTCATCAGAGATTTTTGATAAAGATTACCAACCCCAGCTGTTTATCTTATTATAGATATTTCACTATAATAAGTCTATTAATAATGTAATTGTTTCCTGTAATGTAATTGTTACTTTGATGAATTGAAATCTTTACAAGGAACTGGAAGAACCTAAGGCTGATTATCACTGTAGTTTTGAACGACTGCCTGCACGTATAGTTAGGCCTAAAAAAAAGGAGGCAGCATTTTTACGAATGGTAAGATGATAGATATTTTATAAGATGTTACTTATAAACCATTTGTTAAGTATTATTTCTAACTTGCCTGGAGTAAACACCATAAAATAAAACTACACAAACTTTTTCATTGTATTAATATAGACCTATATAGTTAGTGTTTGTATTGTTATAAATCGGTGACATTTTAAGAGAATAAAACATTAAACTTTCAGAGGTTGTTACTCTAAGGTTCATGTAGTTGATACAAAAAGTAACAGGATGAAGACAACATACTTAGTGACAATGATACATTTTGTTTCTATGATTCAAGTTTTTAACAACATTTAACCACTGTCAATTGAGAGGAGCCAGGTTAGTTGATATGTTGAAGAACCAGATTTTCAGGCCATACATCCAGTGTTCTGTATCTGATATATAGATCATTTTATTTTGTAATATTATAAATACAGAAAAGTTTTGTTTGTAGTATCATGGGTGTGTTTGTGTATCTAATATATCCAGATAAATGTAGTTTATGGTGTCATAAATGGCGTATATTTAATGTATAGAAAATTTTATTTTTAACACCATAAATATTGTGTTTCTAAGTTACAGATAAATTTAGTTTATGATATCATGATATCAAATAACACAATGTTATTTACTGTAAAGAACATTTCAGTAAATTTTCGTTTATTGTTACCAAACAGTTTAAATTTGGATTCATGAGTAAAGAGCACAAATCTCCCAATTAATCATTCCCACTTTTGTAATCTGATTTTAATCTTTGAGATTGGTAACCTCTTTCCAGCAGTGTTTTTTGAGCAGTTACACTGACATTGCTTCAAGCTAATGTGTATTTCATTGTTCATACATGTTTTTACAGTAAGGTTATTGGCAAAATCTGTTATCAGCCTTGGCTTGTCATATAATATTCACTTCTGGAAGCTATAACTGAATCACACAACTACTACTGGGCATGGTACGACTGCCTCTGGTTAGATAACAACCATTTACAGTAGTCTAATGTAGCTCTTTTTCAATTTTAAATAGTTTGCATTTCTGTAGTATTTGCCTTTTATACTTTTTTGTATTGTTTCCAACATGTATAAAGAATAATACTTTTGTTTTAGTCAGGAATGCCAGTAACTGATATTGCGATTGTGAGACAGTTTCCATTTGAGTCTCTTCTACAACGTATGAGTGTAATTACTTGCAAAGAAGGCAGTGACAACTTTGAGTTGTACATCAAAGGAGCTCCTGAGATGGTATCATCTTTCTGTGACAGTAATACAAGTATGTGTATAGCTATGAAATAAACAAACGTGTATAGCTACATGTAGTAACTTAAGTAAATTTTATTTTAAAGATTGTTTTGCATAATTAGTCAGACAATATTGTTTACACTTGTTTTATTTTTAGACTTGAATTCCATGTAGCATCAGATACTTTTATGGTTATAAAATCATGTGATTTATGAAGTTCAAAAACAGAATAAAACAGTCAACTAATGTATTACCTAATTACTGATATGCTTGAATAGATAGCTAATATTTTACTTGGTGAAACAAAACCCATGTACGACAATACAGTCCATAGTTATCAGTTCTAATCAAAGCAATCTCCCTGTGCAGCTAGATCAGAAGTGAAAATTAACCTAATAGTTAATATAGCTGTTTTTATATAGTATAAACATAATAAATATGAATGTATTTAATACAATGTAAATTAACCCTGTAGTTAATATAGCTATTATTATATAATATAAACATAATAAATATTAATATATCCTATATTTTAATTGTACATTAGTACTCTGTAGCTAATATGTTAATATCATGTTTGTTTTTAAAGTATTTTTTGGTATTTAGAATAAAAAGATTAGCTATTGTTTAAGAAACTGTATGTAAAAGTTTTTGTGTTTTATTTGTTGGTCTGTTCTGAGTTTCTGTTCCTGAAATAACGAAAACAACACATACTACAAAAACATAAGAGTTTGTGTTATGTTTAAGTCTTTATTAGGTACAACTTTTAGATGGAAATTTAAAAAGCTTTGTTTTAGCAGCAGATATGTTTTATGTTTTCTTAAAGTAATAAATATCTCCTTGCCTAGTTCCAGAAAACTTCCTGGATGTTCTAGAACTCTACACTAGACAAGGTTTTAGGGTCCTTGCTCTGGGTTACAGATCACTTGAACCCAACATTACATGGGACGAAATATTTCGTAAACCTAGGTAAGTAAGTTCTTTATGGATACACTGAATGACAGGTAAATATGTCCTTTATAGGTACACTGAATGACAGGTAAATAAGCCCTTTAAAAGTACATCGAATGAAAGGTAAATAATTCCTTTATGTGTACATTGAATGATTCATTTGATGTACTTTTAAAGGGCTTATTTACCTTTCATTCAGTGTACCCATAAAGGGCTTATTTACCTGTCATTCAGTGTACTCATAAAGGGCTTATTTACCTGTCATTCAGTATACTCATAAAGGGCTTATTTACCTTTCATTCAGTATACCCATAAAGGGCTTATTTACCTGTCATTCAGTGTACCCATAAAGGGCTTATTTACCTGTCATTCAGTGTACTCATAAAGGGCTTATTTACCTGTCATTCAGTATACTCATAAAGGGCTTATTTGCCTGTCATTCAGTATACTCATAAAGGGCTTATTACCTGTCACTCAATGTATTTTTAAAGGGTTTATTTATCTGTCACTCAATGTACTTTTAAAGGGCTTACTTACCTGTCATTCAGTATACTCATAAAGGGCTTATTTACCTGAGGTAAATAAGCCCTTTATGGGTACACTGAGAGACAGTCATTGTCATGGATAGTTGCCTAAAGAATCACCTCAGTCTAGTTATTAATTAATAACTTTTTGTTTATTATTTCTTATATTTATAACTAGATAGTAATTGATTATTATCCTACATGTTGACTGTTAATCTGCTGCTGTTTTCAGGAAAGTCCCATGAAGGATTATTTCTATGTTGACAGTGGCCAGGATTTGATCCTGAGTCTTCCTAATAAAAATTCTGGTGGGTTTCTATTTATCTTTCTTTCTTGTGTTTAGTTTATATTATATTAGTATTATTCTATTTTATTGTTTGGTTTTTTTCCTTGGCATGATGGGCTAGTCCATATTCACAGGAGATGAGTAAATGATACTTCTCTTCTCTGTTCGGTTTTAGGCTGTTCTGGTGTGTATGAACTGTGATAGTATTGTACTGTAACTTCTGAATACTCTTCTGAATTTATGCTCTTTATATATTCTCTGTATGTTTTCAGAGAGGGGGAATATAGCTGTATCATTCTTTTTTATCAGATATGTTCTAAGGAGGGTTGTATTAATTTATTCATCTTGTTTCTTCTTCACTTCTTTTATATTGCATATTCTGGTAAATAGACTATGATACCTATCTTTAAACTGCTAGGGTGGCTAGGTTTCCAGTCAAGGTATTTACCAGTATCTGTAAACTACTGTGATATACAAGTTGGTAACTATCATGATAAGGAATGGGAGTTTGTTATCTATTTCTATTCTAAATTGTATTTGAGATGTTGTCTGTTCTTGTGATTCATAAATATTTGGGAACTTGCCTGTGGCTATATGGCCAGAAGAAGAGGCAGTCATTAAGGCTGCTCCCCTGACAGCCATATACATGTATATATATGTTGACTATCTTATCCCAGCTATCCTGAGCTGTTAATCCAGACTCTCTTTAACTATTTAATAATAATATCTCTGTAACTTTAAAAATTTCCTTTTTCTTTAAATTGATGAATCTCTCAGAAATTTATTCAAACAGAATCACACTTACTCAGTCAGCATCTCTCTGCTTCAATCCTCGTCGACTGCTCTCTCCAACTGATGTCATTGCCACGTAGATAATGCACATGAATTTATATCAAGAAGATCCGAGGATCAAATCTTGGCTGTTATCCACACAGAAATAGTCCTTCTCCAGACTTTCTCGAAGATGATAGCAGATTAGTAGCTGAAACATGGGGGATAAAAAACTTATGTCTAGTTATAAAAAATAAATAAATAAAATGTATGAAAATAATGAGAAAAATTATTTACTAATTTTAGCTTAGGTGATTGTATAGGCTATTTACTACGACAACAACAAATATATAAGCACCACAACCTTAATTGAATAACAGGTAAAAGTAAGCTTGTTTTTGTATACACTGAGTGAAATATATACATGTTAAATCAGCAACTTTTAGGGTAAAGAAATGCTATTCTCTACAATGTTGCTTAATGAAATTCGATAATTTTCTATATTTTTACAGAGTAATCAACTTTGGATTTATGGATCTCAGATTTTAGAGTATTAGCTCAACAACAGTAAACATTCTCCACTAAAGCTGAGGACAAACATTAACGATATGAGTACTTAATCGTTTGTTGGATATTATTTTGTTAATGGTAATTCCTATAAAACTAGGAAGAATACAAAGACACCATATGTAATTTTGAATGGAACAGAACTTACTTAATGCTGTTGTTAATTGAAAGCTGGAGCAACCAAAGCGTAAATCATTTGTTAATGTTAATTCCTATAAAACTAGGAAGAATACAAAGATAACATATGTAATTTTGAATGGAACAGAACTTACTTAATGCTGTTGTTAATTGAAAGCTGGAGCAACCAAAACGTAAATCCTTTCAATTAACAACAGCATTAAGTAAGTTCTGTTCCATTCAAAATTACATATGTTATCTTTGTATTCTTCCTAGTTTTACAGGAATTAACATTAACAAATTTGGAGCAACCAAAACTTAAATCATTTGTTAATGGTAAGATGTTATTAATACTTCTGTTATTTGATCATTTGAGTTTGTTTTCTCACACAGAGATGACCTAGAATGTAACCTGAAACTTGTGGGACTTCTGGTGTTACAGAACAAACTAAAACCTGAAAGTCAGCCCTCTTTGAGAATTCTTAAGAAAGCCAATATAAGGACTGTTATGGTTACTGGTAATCGAGCTAGTTATTCCATTTGAAAGAAATAAGTTCTTGTTTAAAAATGTGTAACAGTGTAAGGTTCCTAATTTAGATCACTAGAGTGTACTAAAATTCATTTTAAAGTCTATAGTCAGTTTGCTATTTTTTGATTATAATTTATAAATGAAATATTGTTTACTTCATTTATTAAACTGTAAGGGTTGTTTTTAAATCCTGAAACAAGTTATTTTATAAAAAGTACATACAACTTAACCCTAAAAATTCTAGCTGTATCCCATTTATATCTTCTGTGAAAGTTGATAAATGTGTATATAATGAAGGTTGGTGATCTTTTAATTCTTATTTTTTTCACAGGTGTGTTTAGGTCCCATCTTTTGGATATTCTTTCATTTTTTTATTTTGTCACTGAATTCCTCCCCAATAGTCTTGAGATTTTCCAACTGTTTTTGTAACTTTTAGAACAAGGGGTTCTTGTTGGGGTAAACTTGTTTAAACTTTCCTTGCAGTTTGTAATCAATTAGCCCTCATTCCTGATTTTGTTTCCTTTTCCACTGTACTGTACTTTACTCAATTCTGAATTGTCAAATTTATTTTGGATTTCCACTTGTGTTAGTTTTTCCCTGACAGGGAATTTTGTTTTCCTTCTTCTGTAACTTTTGTTGTTTAGTACCAAAGTCTTGAACTGCAAAGTGCAAAAATTAATGGGGATATCACATACATACAAGAAAGTAACTCATACATACAAGATAATAAGCCATATGTAAGAGATACTTTATTACTGGTATGTACAAGATAACCCCATTATCTTTTATTTTTTTTACCTTGCATTTCAAGGCTTCCATGTTTTATGTTTTTATAACAGATCTCCATCATCTGAAACAGCATGGATGTTATAGCAGTTTCTACTTTGGAATCCTCTTCAGTTTTAATTAAGGCAACTCCTTAACAAATCTTTTAAGTATGAACATTTCTCCAACAGAAGTTGAACTTGTAGCCAAAGCCTGAACATATTGACAAACAAAGAAAGTGTACTGCTTACTGAAAATAAACACATAAAATGTATCTTCTAAGAGATAAATAAAGGAGTAGGTGACCTCATCTGATGCATGTTACAAATAATGTGTACGGCTCAGTGAAAATGTAATATACACAACTGAAAATAAACAGATATAAAATGTACTAACTGAGAGATAAGAAGCAGATGACATCATTTGATGTTATGTTACAAAAGATGAGTATGGCTTAGTGAAAATATAAAATAAACATCTGATAATTGGAGAAAACCAACAATATGACTTTAAATTTAGATTAACTGTTTATTCAGTTGAGAAGTTAGCACTCATAAGGTTAAAAATTCTGTTCTAAGAACATATACAGTTCAAAAAAGTTGTCTTTTACGACTTGGCAAATTTTCTTGCAGACAAAAATTTCATGATGTTTTTGATCAAACAATTTGGTCATTCATCTTTTGGTATCATGCACTTAGTATGTCTATAGCAGTTAGTGTAATAATGTTTTGATATTGAAGTAATTGCTTCCAGAATTGGATATCTCACACTGATCAAGTCAGCAAGTTGCCCAATATATTGTTCTGCCCATTGAGAGTATCTCTAGCTACCTAACACTGGAGCGTTAGGTAGCTAGAGATGCTCTATATTTATTATATGTTATAATTTAATACAAGTTCTGTTTATAAAAGTCATAGATTGCATACTTTATATTTATTTTTTAAGTGTTTATTAAGTAAAATGGATTTATTTTGGAACAATGTTTACCCTCAAGTGTCTAATAAAAGCTTCTGCTGTCTATATAGGTGATAACCTTCTGACTGCCATCAGTGTGGCTCGAGACTGTGGAATGGTTGATGAAGAGGATTCTGTCATATCAGTAGAAGCAGAATTGTTGAAGCATGGAGATTCTAAAAGTCCGCGCATTCGGGTGAATTACTCCCATGTTAAGCTACCTGGTTTCAGTGAAAAGCTAGCTGTTGGAAAAAATGGGATCATAGAGGTACAACTTACAAAATTTTCAAACAATTATTTTTATTAAGAATTATTAAGAAGTATTTAAAAAGGTTAATTAGTTAATTTAATACAATTTTCTCCTCTAAAAATTTAATGTTTAGTCTTAATTACATATTTCAAGTAATTTCTTGTTTCAGTTCAGAAAGTATGTTTTGATTTCTTATTCCTATTTATTTTTGCATATGTTTCAATTTATATATGTCTGTAATTTAAAATAATTGGTAATTGGTCATTCTAAAAAGAAAAAAAGGGTAATTTAAGTTTATTTCGATTTTTGTTTTTTGGTGGTTACAAGGGCAGTCGAATTGACCAATCCCGTTTTGAGATAGGATAAAGAAAATAACAGAAACTATAAAATTTTACAGAAAAAAAAACATTTGAAATGCATATAGAATGTTTTAGGGATTACACAAAGGAAATTTGAGATTTGTGAGATGAGGAAAAATATTTTAAATTTTAACATGAAAATTACTTTTCACACGGATTATTCAAAACAAATACTTAATATATTCATGGACAAATCTTTATTTTATATTATTAAAAATACTTCACTAAAAAACATGATTTTTTGTATGTGAAAGACTTATAATATTAACTAAAAGACTGCCAAATTTTGTGAAGATATACACACCATATTGAAAATTATAAGTATTAAATAATACTTTAAATGAGTGCAAAGAGGTCACGTGGTCGGTGAGAGATAAAAGGTTTTCTCATACTAATGTTTTTGAACATGTGGTAAACAGTTAAAACTAATATCACACGTTATGATTTGTATTTATCCTGTAACACCCCTTGCTACATTATGTATGAATAGATGTGAGAAAATAAACTGAGAATTAAGCAATCAAAATAGAACAACAAAGACATAGTATACAAAAAATTAAAGTTATACAGTAACTAAAGCTCTGTTGATTTTCAAGTAGAAATCCTAACCTTTCCAAGCCTACACAGACTTGTATTTATCCTGATAGGTCTAATCTCTCTATGTGCAACAAAGTAGTTCTAGTCTGGTAGTGACTTCTATGCAACAAAGTTCCAAGATACATTTTCAGTCTGAAAAAGTGAACTATAATCACCTTGATTAGATAAAATCAAGCCAGAACTGGCTCATTTGAAAGTTTACTAAATTTTCTATTAAGCAATACTCTCAAAACTGGGTCATTGGAAAGTTTACTGAACTCTCTATTAAGCAATACTCTCAGAACTTGGTCATTGGAAAGTTTACTGAACTCTCTATTAAGCAATAGTTCCAGAAGTTGCTCATTGGAAAGTTTACTGAACTCTCTATTAAGCAATACTCTCAGAACTTGGTCATTGGAAATGTTGTTGAACTCTCTATTAAGCAATAATTCCAGAAGTTGCTCATTGGAAAGTTTACTGAACTCTCTGTTAAGCAATACTTTCAGAAATGGGTCATTGGAGAGTTTACTGAACTCTCTATTAAGCAATATTCACAGAACTGGGTCATTGGAAAGGTTACTGAATTCTTTATTAAGCAATAATTCCAGAACATGCTCATTGGAAATTTTACTGAACTCTCTGTTAAGCAATAATTCCAAAAGTTGCTCAATGGAAAGTTTACTGAACTCTCTAACAAGCAGTATTCCCAGAACTGGCTTATCAGAAAGTTTACTGAACTCTCTAACAAGCAGTATTCCCAGAACTGGCTTATCAGAAAGTTTACTGAACTCTATCAAGCAGTATTCCTAGAACTGGCTTATCAGAAAGTTTACTGAACTCTATCAAGCAGTATTCCCAGAACTGGCTCATCAGAAAGTTTACTGAACTCTTTATCAAGCAGTATTCCCAGAACTGGCTCATCAGAAAGTTTAATGAACTCTATCAAGCAGTATTCCCAGAACTGGCTTATCAGAAAGTTTACTGAACTCTATCAAGCAGTATTCTCAGTAATTTCTTATTGGAAAGTTTACTGTACTCTTTATCAAGCAGTATTCCCAGAACTGGCTCATCAGAAAGTTTACTGAACTCTCTATCAAGTAGTATTCCCAGAACTGGCTCATCAGAAAGTTTACTGAACTCTCTATCAAGAAGTATTCCCAGTAATTTCTTATTGGAAAGTTTACTGTACTCTCTATCATGCAATATTCCCAGAAACAAAGACATGTTTAAAGATTTCAAAACCATTGAGCCAGTGGTAAAACATGCTTTAAAAAATCTTCATCCATAAAGCAACAGTGTTGAACTAAATAATCTTAATATGAAATTAAGATCAATACCACATATAAATGATGTATACAATAGAATATGACATACAGTAGAATCATTATAAACTGTGGGTGATTGAAACATTTACTGAATGAAATAGAGTACCAGAAAAAGAAACAAAAAAAGAGAGAGATAGGGCAGGGATGCCTAATTATATTAATCTTTAAAAGGAATACATACGTATATATATATATTTTGATATAACTTTGTGCTTTATCACTCATATTTTAGTAAAAAAATATGTGTGTATATATATATATATTGTTAATATTTATATTTTTTACTTGTATGTTTCTTCTAGGATGCCTGCATC